GGTTAGCACAGAGTTCCAAATCTTCACTGATCTCTACTGTTTGATGTATAACTCTCACAGATTTTGCTACCCTGCCAACCAGGGTGACTGACAGAGCATGACTCCTCACAGTGAAATCATTTAGTCAAATGAGAGCCTTTGAACTGGGTTTAAGATGGATGGAGATATATATAAGATGGCTGGGGAGGTTGTGAGTTCTCTGCCCACAGACTTTCGCACATGCGCTTTAAGTGTGGGGTTACGAATATATCGAATTGTGCCCAAATCATTTTCAGTTCTCTTGTTCCTTGCTGCTTCTAGTCTGTCATGGGCCAATAGCATCCGGTCACCTGGGGGCTACTGAAGTGCGGAACTCCGGGCCCCCCATCAGTTAGGCCCACTAAATCAGAATCTGCATTTCTCCCAGGACTCTGCTACCAAAATTAGATGCAGTACTTCAAATTCTTCAGATCACAAAAAGCTTTCATCACAGTGCGGCTGACAGGGAGAAAGCTGCCAGGGACCACATTTTCCCTCTGTTTTTCAAATGTCATTAGTTAATCGCCCTATTGAACATTTTCAAAGACATCCACTGAAAGTTGTTTTTATAAACATTAGAAAATCAGATTTATAAAGTTCTTGCAGAGGCAAATAAACTAATTTTCCAAACTGGCCTCCTCTTGCAGCTAATCCTTGCATAAATATTATGACAAGTGTAAAATCACTAATGGCGTGTGCAATAAAATAGCAGGAGAACTGAAATCCAGCTACTGATTCAAGTGGGGCCTCAGAGAAGCATCAGTGAAAGAGAAGCTCAGGACTGGATTCGGGTCTGGACTCCCAGCGCCAGCTTGCTGTCACTCATCCTTCCCTGGCCTTGGTTTCCTCATCTGTGGAATGAAGAGCAGCTGAGACGGCTTTTAGGGCGTCTACATCTTTACCATTCAAGGACCTACAGCAGGACTCTCAACAAGAGCATAGGAAACCTATTTTCTCTGAATTCATTGCATTTAACTCACCCATTGTATAAACCACCAACGAAAGGACAAGCTGCTGGAAACCGGTGTCTAAATACCAAACAAATGATGGAAATACCTCCACTGGGAGTAGGCAGGTGCGAGCACTGGGGGCCAGCAGGGTGAGCAGCTCAGGCTCTCTGCAAACAGCTGGCAGCTCAGCCCAGCTGCTCAGAGATCAGAGAAGTGCAGGCTGCTCACCCACGTGCAATTGCGTGTTAAGTACGGCAAATCTAAAAATAGCCTGAGCTCAGGCCCGAGGATTAATGCGGTACTGTCAGTGTCTTTCAACTCAACTATGAGGATGACAGGAAAGGGAGTAACTATAGCAACAGAAAAATGAACACATAAAGAAAGTCTTCTGAAGTTGACAGGAAAAGTTTAGATTTAATAAAAAACTTATTTTTAATTCCTGTCTCTAAATCTTTGAATTCAAATAGTTCAATTTTGTGGAGGTAATAAAATTATAATTTTGATCAAACAAATACTCTTTCAGTTGTGGATTCCAGATCTATAAGGAAATACTGTTAACCTGTCAAATTGTTCTAATTAAAGGATAATTTGAACAAATGCCTTTATATAATTTTTAACTGAGAGGCTTTCCTCTGTATTTGTTCTATCAGTTATAATAATAGTCTTGAGCCCTGCTTGACATTTTAAGATATTACTACATGTCTGATGAAAATGTAGGGTGATAACAGAACTCTCTTGAAACGAAAGCAACTGAGCGGACATAGTTAACGCTAGAAGAAGTTTCTGAGGCAGGGCTCACAGCCCACACTGTGGCCAGCGCGCACTAGGGGCTCAGCAGCGCTCTGTCACGTGCACGTGCGTCATCCAGTTCTGATGAAGCGTTCTCACTCACAGAGCTCACACACATAACCTTAGAGAAAACACAACCAAATCCCCGCCACCCTTTTGCATCCTTTGATAAAGGAATGCACAGTCAGGTGTTGGGAAAGGCGGTACTGGTCCCAGCTCTTCCACAGCCCAGCTGTGGGGCCTGAGTCGAGTCACTGCTCAGCCTCTGGTCATGGCTGGACGAGTCTCTCAGGATCTTCCCTGAGAAGAGACTGTCAAGCGCTAAGGGGAATGAGGAGAGGATTTGTGTTGATACCTACTCTGGGTCATGCCTTGTGCTGGGCTTTGAAAAATATATTATCTTGGCAGTAAATTGCCAAGATAGATAATTTTCTCTCTACTTTATGTAAGAGGATATAATCATCACCAGGTTGAGCTAAGAAGTGATAGAGCCTGGTTATAATTCGGCGTCTGTCTGATGCCACTTCAAGCAGTCTCCCCTCTCACGCACCACTCGAGCCGCTCTGACAGCTCACTCTTGCAGGCAGCAGGAAGGCTCAGCCCCCGCCCTGCCCAGGTGTTAGTTACATGCACTTAAACTGTCTACAGATTTTCAGTGACTGTCTTGCATTTTCCAAGCATAGAAGATTAGGTACCTTGGAAAGTCCCTCTATACTCTTCCCTTCACTCAGGCAACCACTGTTACCAGGCATTTCCACATCAAATACATGGTGCACTATTCTGCCACCTGCCTTTTTTGTTTAATAATGTATCACGAGCATCTCCTTTGTTAATAAATAAACAAGTATTTTCATCTTTATAAAGACTGCATATCTAAATTATACTCAATCATTTTCTAATGGATATTTCAGTTGTTTCAATTTTATAATACTTCAATAATCAGGAAAAATAGAAAACATCATATGGAAAAAACAGCAGGGTATGAAAGTCATTTTTGAAGTATAGTAAGTCAAAAAGTAAATCAAGAGCTTAACCTTAATGAATCTTTGTGTTTTTCTAAAATTTCTGCTTACAATCAAAATTGCCTGCAACACAGGAATAACCCTTAATAAACCAATGTTATAACGTGCAGAGGAAAAGGAATGTATCCATGGGCCCCTGGGTCAGGAATTCTGTTGGCATCACTCAGCCCTGCTTTAAAATGTGGTCATGGTGTTTGTGTGGTGAAAAGAAGTCACGGCTGTGTGAAGGGACTCGGGCTGAAAGGGAAACACAAAAACAAATCTCGTTTTGTGGTTAGTTGAACATTCACAGCTGGTGCGGGCTTTCCTTTAATTAAAGTGTTTCCCCCTCCCATGCAATGAGAAAATGCTCCTTTAGTGCTCGCTGGAAGATCGAAATCAGAGGAAAGCTGTTGGAAAATTCTGGGGCTTAAGTAAAGCTGCTTTAAAAGCTACTATATGGACTAACAATTTGGAAATTTCCTAACAGGATTTTCAGAGTTTTAGTAAATCTTTCTCTCAGTCACTTTTTGGTTCTCCGGCTTTGATCAAAACCAAAATCAAGTAATGAAAAGGTCGTCCATGCAGCTGGAGGAGCAAGAAAATAAAACAACAAAAACACATGTGTACATATACACATATGCACATGTTAAATATTAAGTAAAATTAGTTATATGATACATGTTAGTCATTTATATATAACCTGTCTTCTTTTTGATACATTTTAAAGTGTGATGCTATGAGACTCAAGTAAACTTAGTTTTATATAAAAATGGTCATAAAGAAGCATAATAAATATAGTTTTGAAGGGGTGGAATCGGATGTGACAGGGTGGCTTGCTGTGATGAGAGATACTAGCCTTCTCATCACCTGCCAGATGATGGGAAGGGTAGTATCTCCTGCTCTTTCCTCCTCTTGAACCCTTTCTCTGAAGGAGTGGTCCAGGGAGTGGATACAAGACACTGGCAGGCAGCCAGACACTTAGGTCAGCATCTCTCCAAATCTGTAAGAGAACATTTATTATCAATACTTGCCAGAGGCAAGGCCATTCGGGCCACATGCAATGGACCTAACAGGCTGGGACCGATGGAGTCTGAGGCAGAAAGTCCACCCTCAGTGATGGCCCAGGGATGGGCCACTCCCAGGGGCCCGTCAGTGGGAAGGGACCTTGGTGGCTTCTCTCTGGTTTCCCCTCATAGGTGGGGTGCATCCTGATTTCTTACAGTGCTTACTATCACCGTTTCTCCACAGTCACAGAGCAACACATAGGCCATTTCCATCAGAGTACATGTCTTATTTTCTTCATCTGTTCCCAAACTAAACATACTAGACACTGCAAAGGGAAGTAAGAATGTCCATAAGTGGGCTGAAAATAGTAACAATGTGCATCATAAAAGCTTTGGCAGGCAGCATGGAATTACTCAAGTTAACGCATCCGTGAGGCAGCAGAGACCACTTCCAATACAAAATACAAAACTTGACAAATGTAGAGAAGGCAGTGGCGGAAGACCTTCTAATGTGACATATGTATGACTCGCATGTACACTAGGACATTTATTTATTTGTTTATTTTAAGACTATTTATTTTTAAAGAGAGAAGAAGGGAGGGAGAGAGAGGCAGAGAGTGACATTGATGTGGGAGAGAGAAACACTGGTGGGCTGCCTCCCATGGGCACCCACAACCCAGGCATGTGCCCCGACCGGGGCATCAAACCAGTGACCACTTGCCTGGAGGGACAATGCCCAACCAGCCGAGTCACACCAGTCATGGCACACTAGGACATTCTACGCACAGTCAGAAGTAAGAAGAGATCATGTGGTCCTGACATGCATTTCAGGCAGCTGGTTAAAAACGCATATTTTAAAAATAAAGAAAGCCTTGTCCAAATAATCAAATTAGTGATTGCAGCCAGGCTGGTGCAACAGTAGAATGGACTGATCTTGAAAGCTCAACATTCTGGTTTGGTTTGAAGTGGATCGGTACAAAGTGCAGTGTAGCAGGTAAGAGCTGAAATCCATACTCAGACTGCTTGATTTTGAATTTCTACCTCACTTACTAGGGATATAAATCTTGATAAATGTTAATCTCTCTGTGCTGCAGTTTCCTCATCTGTACGAGAACAGTAATGGCAGGGCTGCTGTGAGGGCTCCAGGAGGTAATTCATAGTAAGAGCTAACACAGGCCCGGCAGCCGTTACCCTCACGGCCGCCGTGAGTCCCCGGCCCAGAGGGGTTCGCTCACCGAGATGAGTGTCCATCACCTTCGCGCAGTATTTGCACATGGCATCCAGGTCATTCAGCTGTCCTTGAAGGAAAGAAATTTGAGCTTCTAAATCTTCTTCCTAAAATGAAGGGGGTAAATATATGGAAATTTTTATAAAGATCAAATAAAATCCCCAAAGTTCTCCAATGACCTGGACTGTTTTAAAGAGGAACAATGCCTTCGGTCCTAGCCAAAGCAAAACAGCAAATAAACAAGAGCAAACCCATCCTTAGCATTACAAATAAAATAGAGAAAGGGTATGTATGGAGGTTGGAAAAAACCTGGACTTCTCCTAACTGAATGCTAGCTTTGTGCCATGAGTAAATGTTTACCCACACAACCTTGTATAAAAAAGTACAGACAATATCTTCAACAACTATTGAGTCCCACAAATTGGGAGAGTAAATTGGATTTCAGTGAACCATACTCCCTAAACAGCTGGTACAAACACATTACATTTTCTCTCATACACATATGGGAAACTAGAGATTTCCATTTGTACAAGACAAATCTCATCACTTTCCAGACAATGATATCTCTTAAAGAGTGAGATTTCCCCAAAGCACTTGGAAAAGTTTTGTCCCTGTAGCCCATAAACAGCTGCTCTTACATTTCCTCTTGATATGACACTGGAACATTTTATTTATTTGATTGTTTCTGGCAAAAAATACTCTGGGTTGAGTAATTATCTAAATGGTAAAGACAACCTCACTGTAACAAAAGGAAAAAGCCTGTTCTGTTTTTTTTAAGTAAAAAAAAAAAAATACATGTAAAAAATTTCCCAAGAAAAGTTAGAAGATTAAGGGAGTTTTTCTCAGAGAAAGAGAATTAGCCTCATTAGGTAGGAAATTTTAAACTAAGCTAGAACACAAAGGAGAGATGTTTCCAGAGGTAGAATAGGCTAGAAAATGGATTTTTCAGTTTTAGGTGCTTGTCCGTTCACATAAAAATCCTTTATCATTGAAAAGGAGGGAAGAGAAACCTACCAAGATATGCTTTTCCTTAGAGATTGAGCAAAATTTCACTTATGGATGGAAGTTAACAGTTGAAAAGGTTACTTGTAGGTGTATTCCATTTTAGCAACACACATAGGCAGCACTGAAAAGTATTGTTTCTAACAGCTGCCTAGAGAACAAGCCCTTAGAAATATGCATCTAAATGCGTGACACAGAAAACAGAGCAGTAGCTCTAAAAAACAAATTATTGAGAAGTGCCCACTGTAGGATAACACAAGCACTAACCATGTTCCTTACAGATCCCACCAAGTGCAGCAGCCTCTCATCTGATACACAAATAAAGACAAACGCAACCAGAGGCAGCTCAGCCACAGGATGGTTACAGGGGCCTGTGGGGAGGTGATGCTGCCTTCCGGCCTCTTCATCTGGGCTTTAAGGTGGAAAAGGATGGGGTGTTTCAGGGTATTATTCTTTTTGCCTGTGGTTTTTTCTTAGTTTCTCTGCTCTATCAGGATACTGTAGGATAGAGAAAACTCCATGTGTTGACTAAATGATAGCTGTGGTTAGTTTCCCAAGATGGCCACCATCAAGTCCTTCTTCCCCTTATACCGGGGCTGGCTTTGTGACTTGCCTTGATACAGAGAATGCAGCAGAAATCAAACCGTGCCCATTGTGCGCTAGTGTGAGGGGCCTGCTGACTCCTGCTTTCACTAGAGGAAGATAGCTACCATGTTGTAGAGAAGTTCAGGCTAGAATATGAAAGAGAGGAGAGAAACTCTAGAGAGAAAGCAGCCACAGAAGAAGCTCTGAGTTCTAGACATGTGAATGAAGTCTTACTGGATCTGTGAGCTCAGCCCGCCTGAAGCCAGCCAAGTCAGCAACCCAGTCAACATCATGCATAACAGAACAGCCCGACCAAGCCACGTCCAAACCCCTGATCCATAAACCTATGAAAAATAAGTGCTGTTGTTTTGGGGAGTGGTCTTTTGAAATGGTTTGTTATGCAGTGACACGTAACTGAAACAGTGGTAGAATGGAAAGAACACTGGATTGGTATGTGGTCCGAGGACATTTGAGTTCTATTTCTGGTACTGCCATTTATAAGTCAGACACTTTGCTCTCACAGAGTTTACAAACTTGTAGTTGGAATAAGAAAGATACATAAAGTACTAGAGTATGAGGTAGAATACATGAAAGTCTTGTAATTATATAACTGCTGGGGAAATCCTGGTCCCTGCCTCCTGTCCCTTCTACTGAACAAATCACCTTTTCAATGTGTTACGGACACTACCCAACCAGATGAGTCTAGAACCATACTGAGCTGCGAGTCGGCAGTCTGTTTGAAGAGGGGGGCCAGCTGTAGCCCGAGTTCTTCCTCACACGTGACTACCAACCGGGGTACTAACAGCCCAGAGTGAACAGAGGGCACTAGGAAGGCACCGCCTCCCGGCTTGAAAACACCTTCTCTATTGTATCAGTTTAATTTGGATTAAGCAATCACTTCTTTAAAAGCAGAAAGCACTGGGGAAATTTAATCCCTAGCAGACATTCCTACCTGAAAGGATTCATTTTATTCAGCGAGTTTTCATTTTAAAAGCTGGGAGGCAAGAAGCTCTTCAGAGGAGACCCTTTAAAGGTGGGAGACCTGGCCTGTTGGTGGTGAGGCGTGGGGCAGCTGGAGGGAAGCACATGGCTTAGAGGGGCAGTCCCTTCCTCCAAACACTTAACTGTGCGAGCAGGAACATTCCTGTAATAAAAATGGGAGGAGACTGGTGCGCTCTGAATTGTGCAGTGCATGGTCTGCACAAGTTGATGGACTGCCGAGGGCATGGCAGTCCAGGGCACTTGATGCACGAGCCTGTGGAAATAGGAAAACGCAGTTTTCCAAGTCTGCGAATGTTGCCTAGGGCTCAGGTGGCAAGTGAAGGGCATTCTGCTTGCCTAAGTCCCAAGAAAACCTCAACACAAATGGAATGTGTACCGTAGAAAATGGCAACTTTCATTCATTTAAACCTTTTTTTTCAAAGGAAAGCTCACACAGAAACCCAGAGTATGAGATAAGAAGAACATGCTGGTTGAAATAGGTTGAGGGGCCCGGGACCTTCTTCCACTTGGAAGTTAGAAATCCAGTGCTATCTATTATCCTTCTAGAGTTTGCTTAAGCTTAGAACATTCCTAAACCCTTCCACTGTAACTCAGGCTTTATAAATAGAAATGGAATCACTTGTGGAGGCAAAAAGGTGGCTTGTCATTTATTCCTCACTATATAATTACAGATAAGAGAAAGAGCCAAGAATCAAGCTTCTAAAATTGTGGAACTGACTTCACATTGCTATCTTAGCTTCTCATGCTCTGCACTCTTCCCAACTAACATGCTTTAAACACTGACAGCTTTAGTCATTTGTTTTCATTAAACTGGTCCTCTGTAATAAAAAACAAATGCTTGGCTAATTGCCTTCAGGTCTTATGAAAACAACCAGTTAGTATAATTTTTATGTAAAATAAGACACTGAAGAAAAATGTTTATTGTACAGCAGGTCCTCGAATAACATCTTTTCATTCAATACCATGTTATTAAATTGATGAGATGTCACAGAAACTTAACTCTTGTTTATATCAATTAGCCTACAGTACAATTGGTGTTGTTATAGGTCATTTCAGTTAAAGTCACAGAACCTACTGATGATGCTAAATGAGGAATTACTGTATGTACCACTACAGACATGCTCTGCCCGCCATTACAGGAGGGAGCGCAGTGGAGCAGGATGCAACTCTGGGGTAAACACACCTAGGTTCAAATGGGCTTTCTGCCAGTTAGTTACAAACTGTATAAAATCTTCGACAAGCTCCTTGATTTCTTGGTCCCCTCACCCCCACCTACAGGACTGCGCGAAGAACAAAATGGGAACAGCATGGAGGGCGTGTGGCACAGAGTGGGTACTCAGTAAGGGCAATTATTCTTTCTTTTAAACAATTTTTTATAATCAAGTCTAAACAGTGAAATCGATTTTAGGTAACGGTTTTATGATTCACTATTGTAAAACACTGATTTCTGGTTTTAAAATCTTTATGTGGCTGAGCCCAGAAAAGGTAATTAGGGCTTTGGAGCCCGTCACCATCTTCAGTTCTGGATAGCAACCTGATGTGCAAGACAAGACACTGGGGGAGGATTATGAAGTAGAGCCACGCAGACTACTGTGTGCAACTCGTCACCACCTGTACTTGGCAGCCGTGCAGGGAAGATGAGGGTCACGCTACTGGAAGAGGAAAACGCCTAGCACCTGCCCCTTCTACAGCGACTACAATATTCCAGACACTGAGCTTCACGTGCGTAACTCATTGAACCCTCACCACAAACCCTGAATGTAGGTTCTCCTGTCTCCTACATGAAACATGGTCTTTGTAAACACATTCTTGAAAGTAGATGCAAGATGTAAACAGCTATTTGAGAACCCAAGTCCCTTGGGCCACTATTCCTGCTTCTTCCCCATGTGCACATTCTCCCGCATGCGTGGTTCCAATGAATAATCTTAATCTCAATTTCCTTTAAGAGAGATTCAGCAATTACCATGTTAAGTCCTAACCCCAAGTTACTTATTAAATTGTTTTTCTGCAAAAAAATTTAGGCAAAATTAGTTGTGGTCTGTTTTGTTGTTTGTTCAATGATTCTTGTTTTGACTGTATCTAGAAAAATGATTTTTTCAGAATTAGCTCTTTAAAGAGTGTTTTTACCACTCTTCACCCCAAAACAGTTGATGTGTCATTATACTTCTACTCAAATATTATATATCTCAGTTGTTTGAGTTATTTTAGAATACATGGGTTTTATATATCAACTTTAAATGCTTCCATGTATTTCTATTTTATATAAAAAAACAAGTTTTGTAGCTTATTATTTACTCCCTTATTTGTGAATTTACTCAGTGAATAGATTTGTTTGTTTTAGGCCTTGTGGAAAATGCAATGATGAATGAGACATAAAATCTGACCTCTGCAAGTTTAGAAAGGCAAGACCTACACATAATGGCAAAGGGCAAAGAAAGTGAGTTCAGCAGAAGATATGAGAGAGAAGCCTGCACAGTTCTGGGCAGGGCACATGACTTTCAATTTGTAGCCGTGGAAA